GCAGCTGTTACTTGGCTGTACAGGGGCTAATGTCCAAGGCTGTAATTAGAAGATATATCTGCTAATGAATTGTTGTAATCCCCTGCTGTGTTCTAAGTCTGCTGTGGGATCTTTTTCTTGCACTTACAGAAGATACTGACCTTGTTAAATATTTAGCAATAAAAATGTGTTTTTTCCCTGCCTGTTTCACAACCTTTTTTTCTGGCTCTACCAGCTCCCCTGTATTAGTTTTGCGTGTTTGCCCAGGTGTAGCTCTAGGGAAGGAGGGTATTTACAAGAGTGCATGTGCTCGTGCTGCATATGCCTGACTGTTGCACGTGTCTGCATGGCTGTACACATGCACAGAGTTTTGATTTCCTAATGTCCACACTACAAGTAAAAGCCAAAAGAACTTTAATATTTAAGCAAGGAGATACGGTTTCAATTATTTTTAAGTCATCACACTCCTTAAATATTTAATCTTTCCCAAGCCCAACTAATTTCTTCAATTGCAGTTAGGTAGGTTGCAATTAATTTTTGATGAGACAAACTGATACTAATTTGAATATCTACTATACTGTAAGATTTGTTTGCAAATATGTTCAGCTTTCAGATACTGCTTTTTTGCCCTATAAAAAGCTGCAAATTCTCACTAATATAGTCACGTCTGGCCACGAGGCCTGTACCTTGAGCTGTATGACGCCCAAACACAAGGATGACTGTGCTGGGTCAGATAAAGGTCCAGCCGGCTCCTGTCCTCGTCTTGACAGTGATCAATAGCGGACGTCTAAAGAAGAATATAAGAGCAGGACAAAGGTATAGCAAGGCTTCCTTTGAGATAGTCTCCCGTCCATCATCGATTCGTGGTCAGGGAACATTTCAAGGTAGAAGTGGCGTCTTCAAATTTAATATTTGAGCTGATTTGTTACATCTAAAGTGTATGGTGATTTTGTATAATTCATGCTTTTTATCAGTAAAGGACTGAAGTTCCTCTAAGGGAAATACTGTCTTTTTACTGGAAAACTGTCTTGTCTGCCTTTCTGATTAATGAGAACGTTTATATGCCTGCTTTTGTAGCTTGAAGACTGATTCGATGCATTTAACTATGTTAATTTAGGAATGTACCAGAATATTTAATTTAGGGTTCCTGAAACAGAATGTAAAACTCTGAATTGGTGGTATAACAAAAGTAATTTGTAGTTTGTCAGTAGCTACCTCCACACATCTGATTGAAGGAGAATGGGGGTGGTACTAAATTTTAGAACAAAAAGCAAATGGAAATGTGGGACTTCTAGTACAAGGGGCATTTCTGTGTGTTCAGATTTGATTTGATTTCAGATTGAAGTAATGCCAAATTTCCTGTATCTCCTGTGAACCACCCATCAACAGCTACCTTTACAGACATTTATGTGTATAAATGCATAAAATACATTTTGGATTAGAATCTTTCACATTTTACCTTTGAAACAAAGTTCCTGCAAGCTACGGGAGCTGCAGACTGGAACGAACATTTGTCAGCAGGGATGCCGGTGTCTGCCTCAATCTCCATCCATCACTCTCGACTCAGGCAGTGGCTATCAGGATGGTTGGTTGCTAGAGCTGCCCAAAGTCAGAGATCCAAGGAACAGCTCAGGAGCTGTGTGCTGTGTTCTCTGGTTCCTGGCTTCCTGTTCTATGGTTTCCATGCACTTTAAATTTACTGTTCAGAAGCATTTGTCATCAGTTGGAAGCCTTTTAGATTGGTAAGAAAACTTCATTGGGCCTTAAAATTGTGTGATACTGAGATGGAAAAGAGAAAGTTCTTTTTGATTAATCTGATTTTTATTTATTTATATATATATATATATATATATACTACACACTATTTCATTTTATCTGGTGCTGTTTTAGCAATAGTGGTGCTTGGTGGTCATGAAGACTGCAACATCCACATCAGTATCAATTCATCGAGTCACAAATTAAAAACCACAACTGACTTTTGATAAACTTTTATAAGAATGAAATTTCTATTCTGCCAGTGATTAACTCCAAGGTCCAGATGTAGCAACTAAATTAAACTGATGGAAAGAATTTCTCTGATTTCTGCGTACCTACTGGTGTTTAAGTGGTGCCACAGCTCATCAGTGATCATTCCTCTCTCAGAAAAGAAAAAAAAAAATTGAGTCCTTAACCCAGAGAGTGGGAAGGAGACCTGAAATAGGGTAACATCCTCAGTGTAGGTTTTGTTTTTTAACTTTAGCCCTGCTTAATGTCATTTTGTTGGACACTGATTTTACAGATCTCTAGTGAACCCAAAACTTGGCAGTTTACTGGAATTTTCAGGTTACCTGAGCTTACTCAGAGGAGGGGAAGAGCAGCAGACAGGCATGGGATGGACGAGTTCTCCGTGAATGCAGGTGCAACCTTGTCCTAGTGAATACCAGTCTGTAGCTACTGAGTTTGCTGTGAACTGTACCAACTTTCCACCATGATCGTTAACTCCACTCCTTCACCTTACTGCTCACAGGAGCCCTGGCCACAGTTTTTATTTAGTTAAGTTGTACCGCGGGGGTGAGGGATGTTTGTAAAAAATGCTTGTATTGGAGAGATGGAATCAGTGCACAGTCACTGCATTTCATTGTGACCGAAGTTATTTTTCCCCATCATCTCCCTAACTCCTGTTATTTCCCAACCTCCAGCATCACAGAACATCAGGATTACTCCTGAATTTCAGACTGGCTCAGACAACTATTTGGCTGGAATCTGCAGCAGTATTTTCCAGCTCACTGCTGCTGCTGTGCTCTCATTCCCGTAATGGTAGTGGTTACAAGTGAGGGAAGCTTTCTCATTCTTTTTCTTTTTTTTTTTTTTCCTTGTCTTTTTTTTTTTTTTTTTTTTTCCCCTGGTCTTTGCCAAGAGCTGAAAGTGCACTCTCCTGCCCGTGCTGTAATTTATGATCCGCCCAGCAGTGCAGGAATTCAGAGAGCACAGAAAGTCTAAGTGCATGCATAGCAGCTTATTAAGGCAATGTGCCAACTTCTAACCAAAGAGATTTGCTTCAGATGAGAATTGGCAAACTGTTCTAAATAGGAGCTTTCAAAAACACATCTTTTCCAACCTGAGACCAGGCTCCTGCACTCAGTTTGCAATGATGATCTAGTCCTATTACTGGTTCTTCTACTTTTCAGCTCAGATAATGCTGTAGGTAATGCACAAAATGTAGAACTGATTTTTTTTCATGATTTTTGTGATACATTTTTATGAAGAAAAATGAAAAAAAAAAAAAAAAAAAAAAGTTGTAACTGTGGTCCTCAGACAGAAAGCCCTTGAAAGCAGTAGAATCAGGTCTTGCTGCTACCTACAGGTCTGCTACTGCCCATAAGTCTTTCGGGAACCATTTCAGTCAGCAGTCTGATTTCTCATATGTCTTTTGCAACTAAAGGCTTTACAGTTAGCCTGGAAGAGGACAGGAACTGTGAACTCCACTTTTTTCCTTCATGTCTGAGTTCAAGAGATGCAGAAGACTTGAAAACGTGTGCCAAGAAATGCAGGGCTGGGCTCTGCTTCCCACCTCCTGTTGCAGGTATCTCACAGGCTGCTCCATACCCCTTTATGTATGAGACATAGCATAAACCATTTGTCTAAGGTCCAGTGAAGTAATTAGTGCTAAATAAAGTGACTACACTTGGCTGTTCTGATCTGTGTGACCATGATAGCTATGTATACCTTTGGTAAAATAAATTAATAAAATATTGATAATGATTTTAAAAATGTAACATAATGCTAACTTTAGGTATGGGCAGTTTTGCACACTGATTAGTGAAATATTCTCTATTGTAAGCCCCCAAACTGACTAGGATTTCCAGCTGTAACCTGTTCCTGAGTTCAGGATTTTTTGTGAAGAAAAAAATTACATTTTTTGTAATGGGACTTTGTGGTATTTCAAGCTGTCACGGGCTTTCTCCTGTGTAGGAGACCTCTGAGAAATAAATGTATCCGTATCTTTTTTTTTTTTCCCCTTCTCTTTGTGTGTTTCTAAGCAAATTAGAGTCTGACTATTAGAGTCTGGCTGCTGTGTTGAGCTGATGTAAGACAAATCATCTCTGAGCCTTGTTTATGGATACAAAACACCTGGTACTTCCACTTGTCACTCAGAGCTGTGGCTGTGCCCTGGAGAAGGCAGCAACAACTACCTAGGGGCAATCCCTTCCCTCCTCTTCCTCATCACCTGTGCTTTTCCTCCCTTGGGGAGCAGAGCAGAAGAGGACCCTGATCTTGGCACTTCTGGAAGGGCTGTATGTGCCAGAGGAATTAGGGGTGACTAATACATGGCAGCAATGAACATACAGATGTTTGGACTTCTCAGCACTTCTCCAAGGTTTTTGTGTGCTGATTGTATTGTTTCAAGGTGGTTGTGTTCAGTGATGGTGAGCTAGAAAACATGGTGATATTGAGCTCTCACCCTCCCAGAAATCCTTAGGATGTTTTTCTGTCTCTGACAATTGGTTTGGAAACAGAACTTCAGGAACATGTTGCTGAGGGTTGGGCTGACAGCCACTGCTTCCCATTGACTAAAAGACCTAATGTAATTGCCTGATTGGGAGCTTTGAATTTCCTGAATGTGAGCCATTTTAACAGTACAAAGTATTAAGACTGAGGCTGTATCCCTGCTTTTAATATGAAAGTTCTGTTATTCTGTGAAAAGTGCCATAGTGAATTAAAATATTCCCTATGGAGAAGAGTATTACTTACTTTCTTAGTATGATATCTGGCTGGAATAAAATGCAGCCAAGCTGGCATTCGTTTCATGGTGCAGTGGTGCTATTAAAGTATTGTAAAGCAAGAATAGCTTTGCACCACCGTTCCTGAATTCAAAGATTGCCCTCTGAAGGTGCCATGCATGATGGATTGTCACAGGCTCTTTGTCCTGCCTTGACATTTCATTCCTATCAGATGTTGTCTTATGCTCTGCTCTGAATCTGCCAAACAACTGACCCTAGAATTTAATTCCACACCTTCTCCTCTCTCCTTTTTCTGAACAGCATCTTCTGCAGCTGAGGCTCTAACTTACTGGAGGACACTGCATCTTCCTCAGGGACAAGGGTGAGCTGGACCCTCTGGGGACCTTAGAAAGGAATTGTGGTTGGTGGTCACCTGGGGAACTTACTGCACACCAATGTTGCTCTGAAACGAGTTGAGTCCAACATTCACGTTTAGTAAGGTATGTCATTTCCCCCCCTGCTTTTGTCTTTGTACTGTTTTTTGGGGGATATCTACATACCGTGAAAATAGTAAGTTAGCAGCCTTTGTGTTTGTTGTTATATATGTGCCATGCTCATACTGCCTCAGTAAATAACCTTTGCTCTCTCTGAATTTGGAGAGCGTTCATCAAAACTGAAGTGTTTTTAAAGTCTTGGGCTCAAGGGGGTGCGTGTTTGTATCAAGTGTTTTATTGAACACAGTGCTCATTGATGGTTGTGTTTTGTTGATGATGTATACGTGCTGATAGACACCCTCATTTTGAAAGTCTCACTTGTTGTGTTTCACTTATGTCTGTAGTTCAGAGGGTCAGAGAGGAAAATAATAAACAACGCTGAAGTAGCCAATTTGTAATACAGCCCTGTGCTCCCCTTTGCGCTTGGTATATTTTCATTGTTTGCCAAGGACAGTAATAATACCAATTTCTTGCATAAGCTTACATGCCCTCTTTGTTGTGTGGCTTTTATAATTTTTACATGTGTGGAAGTTCTCATATAACACAAAAACATTTCCTTTGTTATACTGTAAACATAGCAAGAAAATATGTAACCCATCTTTTAACAATAAATTGAAGGCCAGGACTTAAGGAACATACAGTAGACAAATCCTGTGCTGTAGAAGCATTTAGGGCAGTGTAGCCTCTGATACTGCAGTTTCTTTTCTGTAGGCCAAGTTGTTTCTGTGGAGGCAAAATTTGCTTCCAAAAAATAAAATTTAAAGTATTGGTTCCAAGATGCTCATAGAATGGCATCAGATGATGCTATCCTTTCTTATTTAACACATAGGTATTGAATTCTCTTTCATGACTGAACCAGAAATATGGTTTGTTGACAAAATTATAGCAGCAATATAACACCCGTATTTGGTGTTAGTGGGGAAAAAAAGGAGAGTTAATACTTACTTAAAAGTCTCTAAGAAAACATGAGGCTATGCTTTCATTCTTCAGCTTTTGATATCCTCACACCTGTAGTGTTACCTCTGGAAATTTAGGCTCAAATTTTCATGCTTCAGCCCTGCAGGTAGTGCTTGTGCACACAGGCAGCACTTGTTGGGAAGGGCTCTGGGGGAAGGGCTGTGCTGCTTGGAAACCATTGGCACCTGAAAGCTTGTACATTGCCAGAAAAATGCAATTCCTATATACCTTATGGTGCACATGTATATCCATTGTTGCAAATACAGCTATTGGGAAGATCAGAAGGTCCTGGTGAGGAGACCAAACCTGTGGTTCTATCTGCTGCCCAGATGGGTGGTAGCTGAGACTTCCTACATCCCACAGCCCCTATGACATGGTGAGGATGAGCCAGAGTGACTGAGCAATGCTGCACAACCCGAGACCTGTGTCTGCTTGCCTCTGCCAGGCTGTACCAGAGCACTGGATTCCTACAGGTAGACCCAGATCGTGATGCCAGCTGGGATTCATTTACCTAGATTTTTGCTTAAGCTCCCTGTGAAGACAGGCATTTCTGGGAGGTGATTTGTGTTGAACATTTTGCATACCTGCCTTAAAATGGCTTCTGCAGGTACGTGCCTGTCTCCAGTAATTGTAGAAAAAAAGTTGGAATAGCTTAAATTATGTCCTTACCTTTTAAATGTTGAGAGTCAAGAAAGGTCTGTTCTGCCTATAGTATATATTATTAATCTGTTCAGGTGTTTCAAGAAAACCACATTGGTGTCAGGGAGGAGAGGTTTCTATTGTTAAAACCCCTGCAGTACTTGTTCTGTTTGTCTGTCTGCTACCATAGCATCTGTTTTCTAGAAGAGAAGCCTGTTAAACATCACTTAGGATTTTGTTGTCATCTTTACTTTTGTTTATTTCCAAGCTGTTGCTCTTGTGATTATAATACCTAAAGGAGAAGGCTGTAAGGGAGGTATTTCATAACCAAGAGAGCTTCTCAGCTCTTATGGAGAAATATTTTACTCTATTATAATGTAGAAATCACAGCTGTTTGTTTAGTTCTGTGTTTGAGATTTGTAGGTGAAAGCAAATGTATCTCCCCTTCTCTGTGTGTGTTCCACTGGGTGCACTGGGTGTCCCGTGATGTGTGGGGATCCATTGCAGGTTGGTGTCTGCATTTGTGCAGTTGCAGCACAGGGGAATGAAGGGAGGACAAATTCCAGGGGAGTTACAATGTCCTGGTTGCTGCATTGCTGGTGTTGTTTCATGCAACAAAAGCAGTATTAATAGGATGGCCCAGGGAAATGTTACAGAGAACTATTAGCCTGTTCATAGGAACTATCCCTTAATGGTGACAGTAATGATCTCCAGGCCTTGGCTGTTCCATTCACCTGGACAAGTTGAGTTTTGTGAGGTTAGGATGTTTGGTTGGCAGTGACCTCAGTGCTGTCCCTGCTTTGGGCAGGCCAGCAGTGTGACGGACTCCCCACATCCTTCTCATCAGAATCAGCCTGACTCGGTTTCTGAGACTCACACCTCGGACTGCAGAGGTTGTGCGGGTGTGTTTGATACCCACGGCTGGAGGCATGGAGATAGCCTTGGCTGAGCTGCTGAGGAACCTATAGGGCAAAGCACGAGATTTGGATGTGGATCTGTTTGACTGAGGTTCCTGCTCTGATCTGAGCCAGCTTCTTTCATGTGTTTAGTTTAGTTAAGCAATTACAGTAACACCAAATGACATCACGATCCACATTTGCTCTGTATCTCTGCTGGAAATGGCAAAATATGTCCAGATAATGTTAACTGAACACATTCATCTTGCAGCATAAGTTGTTTGCTCACATGAGACAAGCTGATTCCCTTTTAGCAGCACTTCATTGTTTGTGATGATGGTATTCTTATTGTGTAAGGATTTTTTTTAACTGATCTGTAGATGAAATGTAGAGCAATATTTTTCCTTAAATTGCTTTAAGATTAGATTTTTAGATTAGTAGAATCAGGTTAGTAAAATGCTTTGTTCTGCTGAAAAAGCATATTCAATAAATATGTAAGAGAAAAATTTTAAGTAGACATTACATAGTTGATAAATTTTATCTTGCAAGTAGAATTGGAAAAACAAACAAACAAAAAAACCCCCACCTACATTCATTTAATGTTTTATGGATCTCATAGCAATTAATTGTCTTCATTACATAGGCATAAATCCTCAGTGTAATTCAGCTATTTCAGATGAATTGCTTTGGATATTTTGCTTCGTTTAGGCTGTAATTTTTTATTTTTTTTTTAAACTTTAATTCCAACATTACATTTTTTATTTTAACCTCTCCAAAATATTTTGTAAATCAGCTCAATTAACAAAATTTCATATTATTATAGGACAGTGTAAAGGCAGTGTTGCAACTGTGATGGTATGATACAGGTGAGGCAAAGAGAGGGTGTAGCTGTATATGCAAGCCCTTCTTGACCTATAGCAGTGCAGTAAGCAGCTCTGCTTTTCTCATTCCCTGTATTTGGTCAAAAAAATTACTGCCTCTCTCTTCAAATTATTCTTGCTTTTTACATAATTTCATTTATGAAATCAGAAACAAACACTGATTTTGCATGTCTCTAAATGTGGATGTCAGTAAGACCATAATGTGATTTTTCCAATGGCTTGATGAGGGGTGCTAGTCTACTGGCTGTGTCTGAATACATCAGTGAAATTCTCTTTCTGTTTTATTGAAGGAAACATTCACTTGGAGTGTGAGGGGATATCTGCTTGAATTCCTCAAGTTACGTTTTCAGTAAACTCTGTTTTTCTCAATTGGATTTTCCACACCAAATAAGAAAACAGAACTGGATACAGAATCATTTTCTCTCTCTCTCTATATATATTTATCTATTAATGAGCACCCTGAGCTTGTTCGTATGAGTAATATTTATGCAAATATTCTCTAGTGTTTATCTGAACTGTTTTGCCAGGGTGAGGAAATAAAATGGCTATTATACTTGCATGTTATGTAGCAAGATCAGCAGACTGGCTGTTAACGTATCAATTCCATTGATGACACCACTTCTGCAACCCTATTCACTCTGCTTCTCCTGACAGGGCTTTTATTGAATCCATCAACCTGACACATATCAAAGCACAATTTCTGATAAAAAATATCTTGGTGTAAAATGAATTAAAAGCTGATATCAGCAGCAGAACTGAGTTGAATTTCTGAAAGAAAATAAGAAACTCCAAAACTAACATCGAATTCTTAAGATATCAATCACAGAACAGTAATATAATAGTCCTTTACCTGTAGTCTTGAAATACTGTGAAGTCAATGGATCTGCCCTAAGTCATATAAATGGGCTTGTTCCTGGACTGTCACCTTACAGCTCTGCCTTCTGGACTTCAGAGAGCGTGATGAAGTAGTGGTTAATTTTCTCCTGGAGACCTTTCTCCTGTAAGGACCAAAGACCTCCTTGTAATTACTTTGCACTCTGGTCTTTGAGAAATTTGAAGTCTGAAAGGAAAATGTTAACCAAGGTCTGAATGGAGTAAAGCTTCTTTCTCGCAGCAGATGCGGCAGTTCAGAGCCCCGTACCACCACTGAGCTGCTGCTTGGCAGCCCCTGGGCCACGGGCTGGGCAGAGTCAAATTAGGGTGGAAACTTTGGGCTGCAGACATTTTGGAATTGCCTGGCTCAAAACCTTCTGAAAACACATTCCCATATCTGCTTGCAACCTTCCCATCTATCTGTCTCTCCTCATCCTGCTTTTCTATCCCCTTCATTTTGCGTTTCTTAGATAAGCAGCTTCAGACAAGGCTGCATTTGCTCTGGTACTTCTCTCACTGTGCCCCAGCTCACTTACCTCTTATTTTTGGCTAGCCCATGCTATAAAGTGCAGCTAATAATAACCATGCTTTTTGCTCTGTGGCATGTCTGCTCTTGGATAAGTCTCCACTGGCAGTTTGCAGCCTAGCAGAGAGGAAGAGGAGGGCAGCCAACAGTTGATGTGGAAAATTAATTATGAACTACCATCCTCCTGCCATGTGGTTAAGGCAGCTCTGCTTTCCAAGCTTTACATCCAGCCTTGCAGAAAAGAAATGAAAATACTGCCTTTCCTTCCTCGAACAGTGGGGATTTTGCCAGAACAAAGCTTAGTGGAGAATGTCACATGTGGGCCTGATGATTCAGGATGCTTGAGAGCCTTTACTGCTCCGCCCGTACTGTGACATCACCCAGGAAGTCATTTTTACCTCTTGTTGGACAAATGCTGGCTTAGTTGCACATCCAGTTGGTTACAGCTTGTGTCTGTGCTGAGGAAGCCACCCGTGTCCCATGTCAGTAAGTAGTCGGGAAGCAACATTTTGTTTTCTTTGTCGTGGCAACTTGGGTACGTTCGGGTTCAGATGAGCTACAGCTTGTCGTGTTTTCTGAATTTGAGAGTGACTAGGAAAAATCCCATCAGGATGACACATTTATTTTACAATGATCCACAAAAGTGGCCTGTGATGTACAAAGGGAGAGTCTGACAGGCATCACATAGCCCTGGGATTGTAATTACCAAAAGGAGCAGTTCTTTCCCTGAACAACCTCTGTCTTAAGGATCACAGAAATAATTGCTGGAAGCTTCAGTACCATGTGTACTTTGGGAGCCGTTCTGGTCTCATAATTGCGTGCTGGGTCCTGCTGGTTTTAGTTGAGCACTGCAGAACTGACACAGCACAATTTATTTAAGTGCCAAAGATGCCCTTCCTTGGATAGTTCTGTGAAGTGCATGAAAGAGCCCAAAAGAGCTAGAAATTTGGAAAGCCCTGACAACTTTTGAAAGGGGGCATTTGGGGCTTAGAAATTATCATTTGTTTTAACTTTCTGCAATTAAACCTTCACTTAATCTGAAAGGATTCTGGAAGTGTGCAATGGAAACAGACTTGCAAAGCCACAGCAGAAGCTGGTGTGAAGTGTGATGAAGCTACTTTGCTGTGTTAAACATGTCTCTTTAGCCCAGAAAAATTATCTGGGCTCTTCAAGTTTTCAGTTAAGATACCAGAATTCTCCACTTTGTACTTTTTTATCATGAAAAATGGTTGTGGCTCCTGACTAATTTGACAGTTAACTGAAAAATGATGCTGTGAGAAAAGAGGTAGGATTTTGTAATGGGCCAAATTCCTGCCTGGTAGAAGTCACTGACTTAAATCACAATGGGATGGCTCCCAGGTTTCTCTGCCCGAGCTCTGCCTCCTGATCAATAGAGACCTCTTTCTAGTGCTGTTGAAATGTTTTGTTTGTTATTTATTTAGTTCAGCCAAGAGTCTGTATTTGGAAGCCCAAAACTGTTGTACAATTTCTTTAGATGCACTGTTAATAATTATGAATATCTTTAATGAAGGGAAGCTGAAACATACTGAAAACGTTTGAAAATAAGAGAGAATGTGTGCAGCCAAACGTTTGCTGTGAATTGAGAGGTCTTTTTGGCATCATTTAATGGGAGCTTTCTAGTTTGTAGTTTTTATGGTGAATCTATAGAAAATGGCAACAATTAAAAAAGTGGGATAGCTGGTTGTGAATGGAAGAAGTTGCCTCTGGGAGGAATGGGGTGTTGAAGTGAGCTGGGTTTTTGTGCCTGTGCTAATGCCACCAGCAGCTTCTGCCTCCAGGTACTGGGAAGGGGTCGCAGAGCCCCTGCTGACTCTGGCATCCTCTAAGCAAGGTAGCTTCATATTCCTTCACCACAGAAAACTCAGTCTTTTGTTTTCTCCCAGTAGTTGGTTGATGATGGGGGCATGTGTCTATGTTTTGCTTCTCTGTAAGGTGGTTTCAGTAGCTCCATTTATA